ACCAGGTTCTAAGTGCCGGAGATTCAACTTGGACACTTGGACACTCCCTGCCCTTCAGTCAATTCTGACTCATAGCAACCCTCTAGGACAGGATACAAGTCTGTCACTTTGGGGAAGTAGGAAACCTCATCTCTCTGGGAGTGGCTCGTAGTTTCAAAACTGCTGACCTTGCGGTTAGCAGCCCGCAATAACCCCTACACCTGGGCCTGAAGGAAGTCAGCCCGGTGGGGGAGACAAGGCAGGGCTGGCCAGGTGGGATGGGACAGGAGCTGGGGAGGATGGTCCAGAAAGAGCATCCAACAGGTGCAAGCAAATGAATATGGGGAAGCCATCCCTGGGGTGGCTCCAATGGTGGAGGGGGTCAGCTGCTACACAAAAAGGTTGGCTATTGTGTCCTCTTGGTAGCCACCTGGAAGAAAGGCCAGGTGCCCTGCTTCTCAAAACTCGGTCATTGAGAGCCCGATGGAGTGGGGTTTTGCTGTGGGGTCGACACAAGTTCTGACTGTTGGGTTCGAGATAGAGGCTGTCCATCAAACACAGACATCGTTCCTTCCACACTGCTGGGCCTACCAGTAGGATGCTAATGCCCAGGGCTCCTACATCCGGTCAGTGGGCTGCCCACAGAGGTGATGTGTACCACTCCATAGTCCCCACCCGTAACCAAGACCTCCCACAGGGCCACCCTGCTCCCGGTGCGCTGTGGGTCGGTCTGGAAAGGACACGGTAAGGGTTTCCTCTGCTCTGCAGCAGTGAGGGCCATGGTTGTGGTGACGACGCTGTGGTTTATGCACTGGGCTGTGATCCACAAGGTCAGTAGTTTGAAACCACCAGCTACGCCTCGGGGGATAGGGCTTTCTACTCCTATTGAGCTGCAGCCTCAGAAACTCACAGGGGTAGTTAATTTTACCTTGTCCTATAGGGCCGCTCAGTCGGCATTGACTCGATGGCCCTTGAGCAGCAGGTAGGGACTCAAGTGGGAGGACCTGAACGCCTGGGGTCACTCACACAGCTGGGTGGGATTGTCTAGGAGTCCCCTCACTCACATGCTGGGACCTGGACTAGCATGGATCAAAGGTTGGGCTCCGCTGGGACTGTTGACAAGAGCACCTGCACGTGGGCTCTTTGTGAGGCGTGGGCCTCTCCCAGCCCTGGGTCTGGGTGTAAAGAGGGAGTATCCCAGGGGAGAACACTTGGGGAGGGAGCGTGTCATGGGACCCAGGCTGATTAATGTTGTTCTTGTTCTTAGAATGATCATGTGATATATGGGGGTTGGTTAAGTGTCATTTGGGGGGAGGCTTAATATGCTCCCAAAGGGATACTGAAAGACTCGAGACCAAGGAAAGTCTGCACCGGGCTGTATCCTCTCAGGACATACATTCCTCTCTCGCTGACCCCCAACTTACTAAGCAGGACGGTCATGCACAAAACCCAAAGGCAGGTCATGAAAATTGTTTATTCGAAGTTAAGGAAACACTTGCACACATTTAAAACTGACGAACTGTCCATAAGTTAAACAAGCACTAGTCCCTGGTCACATCCATGCTGAGTACATGCTATAGTGATGTCACATGCAGGGAAACACATAGCAGGTCCTCGCAGCTCACAAGTCAGGTCGGGATGAGGTTCCCAGCAAGGAGTATATGGGAACAAAGGCACCTGGCAGGCTTATGTCCTTGGATCCAGTGGCTTCACGTGATGAACCTTTTTCCCCGCCACTCTTCAGGTGAAAGAGTGAGCAATTTGTTGATACTGTGGGCAGGGCAGGTACACTGTGCTCCTACCAGCAAACTCCGCTGCTTCTGAAATGCTACTTCCTTCCCCAGAGATTTACACGATTCCCATTTCAAAGGAGTCACGTCTCTGTGGCTCCAAACTCCTTGCCATCCAGTCGATGCCGACTCAGGTGACCCTGTAGGACAGGGTAGAACGGCCCTGTGGGTTTCCAAGACTGTAACTCTTTACAGGGGTAAAAAGCCTCATCTTTCTCCCAAGAAGCCACTGGTGGCTTCAAACTGCTAACCCTGCAATTAGTAGCCCAACCCAAGAGGCCACCAGAGCTCCTCTTAGAGGGTCGCTAGGAACTGGAACTGACTCTATGGCACAGACATGTGACAAACCACCCAGGTACCGTGTTTCAGACTGAGTGAGTAAAAAGCATTTATTCTGCCCGAAATCTCTGAAGCCGCCATGTTCCCAGGGAATCCACTCGCTGTGAGCTGCGAAAACAAGGAATCACCCACAGTATCGCTTTTCCGTTATCTGTCCACGCTGCACCAGGGCTCTAGAGGGTCGGTTGGTCACTGTGTATTTGCCTCTGTTGAGATCTGAAAGAAAAATTGCATTATGTCCCAAGGGGGCCCTTCCACCCCTGGTTGCTGAATCTTTCACGTGAAAAGGCAGTTCCGTTTAAACGCCGACAACATCCTGCCCCCACCCCCCCATCACCAACTGCAGCCATGCCAGTGTTCCATGGACACAAGTGACTGGACTCCCCACTTGGCTCAGCAGGTGGAGCACATGCCACAGGCGGTGGGAGGTCACGCATGAGCCTGCACTTCTCAGAGCTGGTGTCCACGTCTTCATGGAGCTGCGGACCACTTTTGCAAGAAGAGCGCGGGAACGACCTCGTCCGCAGCCTCCCAGCCACGTAACCCGTGTGCTCACTGGCCTTGTGCTCAAACCTGCAGCAGGTCTCTTACCAGTTCTGACCTTAGTGACTGCAAGGGAGTGGCTGCCTTTCTTCACTGTGACCCTGAGCATGCAGGTGAGCATGCAGGTGAGTGCCCCCCATGTGGGTGTGATAACTGAGACACGTGAGCCCCGGTCAAGAAGCCACAGGGTGGCAGGCTGAGGTGCTGGGAAGCAGTGGTCTGGAGGGAGCCAGTGAGCTGTCCCAAGGTGTCAGGGGCAGCTGGGACATGACGAGATGACAGGCCTGCTTCCCTAGTTGGGTCAAACTGCCCATTCTCCCCATTCCTCAAGAACTGTGATGTGCAAATAAGTTGATGAAGCCTAATTAAAAATAGAATGTTCTAGCGTGTGAACTTTTCTCCATCTGAGAAGGCAAACACCACCTTCCTAAGGAAAGTCTTTGAAGGGCAGGATGCCTGCCCTCAAAAGTAGCCACTCGGAACGAACGGGAGCGCGGGGACGGAAGCCTGAGCAGATGCCACTCCCAGCGGTCGGTGGGCTGCAGCCCACCCAGGGGAGGACGGGCAGCTTGGGTGGCGCTGTTGCAGACGCTTACCTGCGGGACTCAGCCGAGGAGGGAGATGAGCATCACCACGCCCATGAACTGGGTGAACAGCAGCAACGGCGTGAAGAAGGACCACTCGTGCCACAGCGCCACGTTGAAGCTGGGAGGAAGGCGTGGCAGTGATCACGCGCGCTGACACACAGACATGGCCGTGCCAGGAAGCAGATGCCAGGAGCTTAGTGTCACAGTCCCCCAGCTGTCAGCCAGCTGCTCCCTACTCCATGGGGGCGGTGTGGGAGACCTCTGTGCCCGGGTCGCCCTGGGTCACCACCATCCTACCCACTTCTGGACAGCACCTCCTTGCCCATCTGCCCACCTTGGAAGTGAAGCAGCTCACATTCTTCATTCATCACAATCACCACTGGCTGCACAGGCCGCTTTTACATCAGCGAGAAGGCTTTGGGTGGGTACATACACACACCGCCATGGAGCCAATCCCCAATCACGGGGACCCTCTGCGGGGTGTCTGCGACTACATCCTTACAGAAGCCGACGGCCTCATCCATCTCTCCCAAGGCGCGGCTGGCGGGGCTGGAGCAGTGTGGTCAGCAGCCCGGCGCCCAGGCCACAGCCCCCAGAGCTCCGTCACTGCATGTCAGCAGTGAAACATAAGACCATCTACTTTATGAACGCCTTTCCCTTGTCAACTCCAGAAACAGACAGCAGCAGTGCTTCCAGGATGCCTTCTTGGAGGGTCAAGTGATACAGGGAAGCCGGCAAGTACCACCAAGGGGAGGGAGAGCGTTTGCCGTGGGCAGAAGGCCGGGGTGATGCTCGGGAGCGCCTGGGTGGGGCTGACGTCACTGCTCCCTGTGTGGGAACGCGTTCGGCCGGAGGTGTTCATTCTGTCCACTCCTCGACATCCTGAGAGAGACTTAAGGGGCCAAGGCAGACTACGTGTGCAGAACGCGTCTCCCTCCATTTGTGCCGTACAGGACTACACACACAGCTGCTACTGCGTTTTATTTCACGGGGGCCCTCGGGGAGGAGTGGGCCCTTGTTGGGCTGCTGGCCATGGCAGTTTGAAACCACCAGCCATTCTGCGGGAGAAAGTGGAGGCTTTCAGCCCCAGAGGAGCTACAGCCCTGGAGGCCCACTCTGTCCCATAGGGTGGCCGTGGTCGGAACTGTCTGTCTCAGCAGCAGTGAGTTCAGAGTACACGTGTGCACGTGGGTGGGTCTGCTCACCAGAGGCCAGCTGCGATGAACGTCGCGGTCGTGATGGGAATCAGGGAGGGGTGCCGGGCGTCGTAATCGCTGACCCCGCGGTACCACTCCAGGAAGACGATGCAGTAAAAGGCAATCGACAGGCTGACCAGCAGGAAGGCACCGCCGAGGAGGAACCAGCTGTGGAGACAAAGGTGGCGTTCTGTTCATCCAGCCTATCTTATTTAGACAGACCTGCGAAGATAATAACATGCACAAAAACAAGACAGAGCAAAACCAAGCAACAATGTACAACAAAACAACAACAACAACAAACCACTGACAAAGAACAAATTAAAACAAAACAAGAAAGAAAAGTTCAAGGAT